CATCTAATTAGAAACCCTTTTACTATTTCACTAAACTTCTAATTCAGATAGTTTGGTTTAGTCTACAAGTTATGTTATCCACTTTCTTACTGGCTTAACCTGAATACCAGTCTATGCCCTTTTCCTCTAGTCGATTCTGGTGATCTAGTTGGTATAATACTTATTAAACACCTAGTCCTTGTTCAGATTTGCAGCTTTTTGGTTCTTTTTTTAGATTTTCTAAAACCATCAAAAGTATGTGCTATTTCTCTACTTAGAACTTGCCAAGTAAGTTTTTATTCAGGACTAGTCCGACTAATTTATACAAGTCACAGAGACTTATCATAGGTTTACACTGCCTTTTATCAGTTTGTATCTCTTCATATAACTCCTCTATTACTCGAATACTCTATAATCTTCTAAGTTTATACTACCATCCCAATAGAACTTGCAAGATAAGTTATTTATTAAGCAATCATTACCCTTTGCATTTATTTGGTTTAATTATTGTTACAGAATCTACATCCCAACTCCTGAATAGTTATCATTATACAGAAGAATATAATTTTTTGTTATTAGTGAAAATTAAACTCTGAATATACCACTTGGAAAAACAACAACTTGACCACTTCACTAAGTTGCCACAACCAGTATTTTAAAAATAAATTATAAATAGAATAGTTTAATAAATTAATATATTAATTTAATAATAAAAAATTAACAAAAATAATTAATAAAATATAAAATATATAGTATAATAATTTCAGAATTATATATATAATTTTTAAACTCTGTATATAGGCTTTAATATATATATATATATATTTTTTTTTATTAAAACTTTTGTACTAAATAGTAAACTATTATACTATATAGTTGAAATTTTGTTTGGTTAGCAGATTTTTCTTCTAGTAATAGCTTTGTTAATTTTTAGTATAAATTTAAACTTCATAGTATTAGATTTTATTTTTTTAATATACTTGTTTTATTTTATTTTTTTTTTATTTTTTAATTTTTTAAATTTTTTCTCTATAAAAAGTGTTATTAGTTTGAAAGCATTTAATTATAAGACAGAAATCTTGATAGAATAAGCAATAGCCAGCTATTGAATTTGAAAAACAAAAAATTCTAAGTAAATTTTAAATTTTTGAAGAAGGCCAAATGTTGCTAGACATGTTGTATCTAAGTACAATACAATAGTTTAATAATTCATTCTAACTACAAGTAAAAACTATAACAATTGTATAGTAAAACTGGATAAGTTAAATTTTAATTATGATATTACAAACTGTAATTATAATATTAATTATAAAGTGGTTTATTTTTTTGTAAACAAGATTTATCAAAAAAAAAAATAGAATTACAAAATTATTAATAACTTAAAATTATATATATAAACCATCTTTGATGCTCTAAAAATATTTTTGCAAAATTTTACTATAAACTATACTTTTATTCTAATTAGTTTAATTCCAATAATAAATAAAATTTAATTTTTGATTTAAAAATTTGGTTGATTTTATGTTACATGGTTAATGCTAAATAAATCCTTTAAATTTAATTATTAAATTTATAATTATAATGCGCCACCTTTTCAATTTTTTTTCAAAAGTTCACTATCACAAGCATATAAAACCTACTTTTCAGTAATAAAAGACAAAATAGTTACTATTTATAAAGTTTTTGTGCTTTATAAAGAGAAATTGGGGTTTTTATTATTTATATCCGTCCGCATGTAGAAACTTTAGCAATAACCTTGTTTTAAAATGTGATTGTCAACTTGCAAATTACATGAAAAAATTTTATATGTACTTAGATTCGAAAGTCCCGGCGTTGCCAATAATCGCGAGAGCAATCACGTGGTCAATTTATAGCAAAACTTTGGTTAATAATACTAATACCGATACGTCGAATGATTGTAATAATAATAAGAATAAAGTTGGCAAGTAATATGACTGCGCCCTCGATAATTGGAGACGTTGGAACCAATGGTTGGCTTGGCATCTATTATTCACGTGAAATAATCGCAATAATAATTCCACCGATTCTGAGCCTATCACGTGGATTGTAGACATCGATCAAATACGTAGTGGTAGGGTTATCATTATACTAATTTTAGTTAGGATCTTAGCTTACTTCCATGAAAAGCAAGTTCTAATAACCTGGTTTACTTGGCTTTTTTTTTGAAAAGCATTGATGCAGATGCCGATGCTTTACCAAATTTGGTAGTTTTGCTTTACAAGAATAACAAAAAAATTAAAAAGTTTAGGGAACGCGAATTCCGAAAAACCAACAATTACATTCCATAAGGGATATCTTTTTAAACTTTTTTTATTTTGATAATGATTATAACCCATCCATTTACGATTAAGGATAATTATACAAATTAAACAGGTTTAAAATTGGCCAGTATGTATTGTAGAAATGTTAACACTGCGGCATTTATCCAAACATACGTACGTACGTACGTACGCGGTTGACGCGGAGAGAAATTCCGAGTTACAAGTAATATTATAAATCTTACATAATTGTTATAATTGTTAAATGACACAAAAAATAATGTGATCAGACAAATCTAAGAAAAAATAAAGAAAATTTACCAAAGTTATTTTTGTACAAAATATTTTTATATTTTATTTTTATTTTTTCATACATGTTAGGTAAAATTAAATAATTAGCATGAATCATAGAACAATAAAGATGGTTTCATTTATTCGGAAATTTCACATAAACTCCATAAGTACGTATGACGTACGTATGAAGTTACGTATGTAAGTATATTCGCGCGTAATCGGGATCAGAATGTACAAAATTACATAAAAAAAATGACCAATGCAACAAAGGATTTATTGATTATTGTTAATTAAAGTTTTGTACGTAATATAAGTTATTTTTATCCAAGTTCATAGTTACGTAATTGAGTAACAAAAATCATATATATGTACATATGTGTATATAAGTACGTACGTACGTACTAAGTTGCATGCATGTGTAATGTGTATTGAATTAATGCACGATGTCAGCATACATTTCATGTGAGACTCAAAAACTGACTAATCAACTTCTTGAAATCAAATCAAAAAAAAAAAAAAAAAAATTTACAAAATATAATTTCAAATTTAAGGATTAATCATGGTATACTAAAATCATTACGTATGTACGTACAAAAACTTTATCAATCAAGACCGTCTTTAGAAACATCGCCGGCGATTATATCAATTATATCAATTATATCAATTATATCAATCAATAAATTCGGACATCGCTTTAAGCTTATACATACTAATCAAATTATATTACTTAACAATACCATTAGCAATTAAAAAAAAAAATGGTTCACTGCCAGAATGCATATTCAGTTTTTTTTTCTATGCATATTTAAAAATATTCCGAATTTCTAAAATTACAGTCCACTAAGATTTCTCAAGTCACAATTTATCCATCGAAACAAAGCTTTACTTCTAAAGATAAAGTCTTTGTATGGTTAAATAAATACAGGTTTTCTATTGTTAAACAAGTTCTTTAGAAGTTTAAATAAATTTTTTTTATTTATTTCTGAATTGTCATAAATTTTTATAGATAGATTTGAATTTAGAAAGAAATGCCGCCACCATGCATTGATTTGAATTTGTGGAATCAAATTTTGTCATTGTTTCGTTTCGATAGGACGAATGTTGTACGTAACAATATTTTGAAGATATTTTGAAGATATTTTGAGCTTAATTTGTAATATAGTATCAAAACTGAATACGTACACAATATGAACGATAATCATTAACTCCTTAAACACAAGGAATTGCAGATGGATACATTATTATTTTTTTTATCAGTCTGTTTTAGAAATATTTGTCGTAATACTGTTTTCGCATATATGCGCGATTACACGATTTTAGCATATACTGTAAAGAATATTTAAATAATTGCTTCTTTGATTGGTTTATAAATCTTTTTGATGACAAAAATTTTTTTCGTAATGTTTTGATAGCGGAAACGTTTCATTTCTTTGTCATGCTCTACTTGTAATCTCGAAAAGAATTATGGATTTTTTTTTTTTGAGAATAAGAAATAATTCCCTTTGTTTTCTTATTTTCTTATTTTCTTATTTTCTTAATTTCTTAATTTCTTATTAAATATTTGTAATGGTCAACCAATTTTGGGGATTTATATTATGCGAAAGAATCCAAATTCAACAACAAATGTTCTAATTCATTGATTTATAATATTTAATTTCTAATTTTCAAGATTCAGTGTTTTGTCACAAATCTTTGTTGATTTTGTTCGTTATGTCATAATAATGTCATAGATGGCTCCAATTGCTTAATGTGCTTCTAGAAGAATTCCAGATCACCTAACAGTTTTTTTCAGCATGTATTTTAAATTAGGTGAAAGTAAAATTCCTAGATATTCTTTTAGGAGTCAATAAAAAAAAAAAAAAAAACATTAAGCTCCAATGCTTTTTCTGCCTAATGTCTACCACGCGGAACTCTCTATTTTTATCGGTTGCATGTATGAACAAATTTTTGTAATGTACTGTACGTGCATGCTGAATTATGAATCGACATCTGATTACTTAGACCCTCCTAATTTAGACCTTAAACAAGCAAACATTACGTCATTCTATGCATAATCAGAACCCATTTTTTTTTCCTAAGGTAAAGTGAATATCGATATCCTACGTAGTTCGTAAAAGAATTGTAATAATCTATATACCGATACATTACGTTCCGTTGAATATATTTCCTAGCGCAATTTTTTTTTTTTCCTCTTAGTTTGAATTGTCCCTTACAAGCACTTTTAGCAGAGTGACATTTTTTTATGTCAATGAATTGATATTGGTCAACATGAATAAGTATGATCACGTTCATCACATATTTCAATGTGTGGATGCTGAATACTAAAACACCGATACATAAAAAATTTTATTCTAAAAATTTGTGTTACCCGATGTTAAAATACAAAAATATAAATACCCTCGTGTATTGTACTTCCTCTTAAATCACTTCAAATTCCGCGAAGTTCAAATGGCGACTATAACTAAGAAATCAAGACGTGGGCGAAAAGCATTCATCATTCCAGAGAAAACCGATACTACTGGTCAATGCCACTTCATGATAGTACGTCGGGTTCCGGAAGTTGTCAAGAATAAAAAGAAGAACAGTTGTCGAAATTGTGATATAAGTGACGAATATGTCAATGTTCTTTCAGAGAGGATAAATAAACTTGAACATTTAATAAACAATCTTGAAAAAAATGTCAAAGATCTTGAAAAAAGACAATTAAGCATAAACGACATTAATGATACAGAATTTTCAAGAATGGACACTGATTCTTTGATTAAATTCTCTGAACGTTTCGTGCAATCTACGCCTTGCAATCAAAATCAAAACGAAGTATTTATTAATCAAAACATTGTCCCGCAATATTTTGACGCCTTACCTTTTGATACAAGGTCTCTTACATTTTATCAGAATTAAAATGGTTCTCAAATTTCAAAAACTTAATTCATGTAATATTCCTATAGATAAGTTGCATAAGTTATAACATATGTATTTATTACAATTTACAATTTATGAATAAGATAGTTTGTACAGCCGGATTATTAAATATTCGGATATATAATATTTATAGAATTCATGTTTTTTTTTTTATTTTTATCTTATATAAATATATAAAATGATGGTTTATGTTCAGAAAGAAAATCTATAAGAAAAATTTTTACAATTTGAGTTGTAATTTCTTTGAGTCAACTAGCTGATGAACAATTTAACAATTGATTAGCTAATTAATGATTAATTTCGTCAATCGCATGACATCATATTAATAATAAAGGTATTTTTTCTAGAGACCTCATAGTTTGAAGGAAAAAGATAGACAATAACTTTAATCAATATCTACCTATTTTACGTGAGAATTTACGTAAGAATTTACGTGAGAATTTACGTGAGAAGATTGGATACATTCGTCATCAGGCGAGTCATGTTATACTATGAAATATTTTTAAATAAATAATTAAGAATAATACTTTTTTTTCATCTTTCTTGTACGTAAAATTGAGCAAATAAACTAAATATGGCCTTTTTTTTAATTTGTAATCACTTTTTTATGCATAATGTGTCTACTGACAATTTCCAAGTATAGCTGATCACTTTGTTAAAGATCAATGCGTTGAAACAGGTATGAAATTTTGACTAAATCAAATTTGTAAATGAAAGTTAATTTCCTGCAGTATAGATTACCCTGCTTCATAATCAATTCTATATAACAATTGATTATTAATACATTTTATTTAAAGGGGTCGTCAAAACTGCAAGAGATCTAAGAAAATAATTCAAACCATAACATTCTCTTACTTCTTGAACCGTAAACCCAAATTGGATTAGATTTCTGAATGATCGAAAATACGATGATCATGAGCTGGTACAATTGTTGCCCAAAATTTTTTCCGTGTAGGACAAAGTTGGGACAAAGTTAACGTTCGAAATTACGGTCGAATCGATAGGTATATCGATTACTAAAAAAGAAAAAATTTTGATTATTAATGATGACAAAACTATTGTGTTTTCAAAGTAGATTGTGACCTCTTGCAAATGTCATAATGCATTTAATTAACAAGAATGCTCGTGTTAATTGAGTAACAGACAATATGCTTTTGTCTAATTAATATATTTGTCCTTAATGCGCTTTCTTAATTAATATACTTTTCTTAATTCATGTCTTTCACAATGCTTTCTTAATTCATATTACAAGGAAATTCATAATATAACCTTTCTTTAAGAAAGCTTCTATTATACATTATTATTCATGAAAAATGCAAAGTTTGCAGTTTGCATGCTATGTATTTTCAGTGCCGATCCTTACCTTTTAAAGAATTATGATTATATACGTACTATCGCTATATAGTAGATTCTTGACGATGGCGTGACCTTTACTAAACATGCAAAAATCTTTTAAAGTATTGGTGCTTACCTAGTGTTTAAATTTCAGAATTATATGCTTACTCGGATATACGTGCCAAATATTTGGTATATGATATTACGAATTTGATGTCATTATTAAAAAGCAATTAATTCTAATTAATTCTAATTAATTTTAATATATTGAAATGTTGAACATTGAAGTCATGATTTCCAAATTTATTATTAATAATTAAATATAGTAACATCCCAATGCTGAAGAACAAGACGTTAAATATGTTTCAAAGATGTGAATCTTTACTCATTTTAAAGTCTATGAAAGTAAAAATTTATCGTTTGAAATTGTCACGGTGAAATTTCACACTTTTTGTTACACAGCATTTTATTCCTGTAAATACTGAAATAAAATTTGTGTACTGTACGCAATTAAAACTCCGGAGGACTAATAAAATCCAATTTATTTGTACGTATGTATGTACGATATTTGTTAATATTGCGTATTACGTATATTAACTTAACGCAGTAGATTAATCACAAAATGATATTCATGATAAAAATCAAAAACATGTCATACATATATTTTCGTAAGCAATATTAAGATCCTTTGTTGTTAATAAACAATTGTTACACTGTTATTTCGAACTATCTAAATTCTTCCCGTGTGTAAAATTATAATATTCTCAACAACCGAAAAACAAATAAAAACAAATTTTGCCTTATTCTCCTAAAGGAATTATTCAATGGTCTACTATATTTTAGGTATATCTTTTAAAAAAAATTTCTCTAATTATCTCTAATTATCTCTAATTATCTTGATTTCAATTGAAAATTATTACATGAGTTATCATTATTTTATGGTGATTACCGAATCTAATTCGGTAGCTGCCGTAAATTATGTAACCTGAGTTTATGAAAAAACTTTATTCTTAATTCTGACTGATCTCTTATCATAGCCAACTCTTAATTCATGTACACCACAGAAAACGCGATATAAATACATCACAATTTTTCTACTATATTGGAACGATTCGGTGAATCTTTATCTAAATGCCCCAGATCCATGTTTTTTAATAGACTCGGGTCCAATTGTTACAATTATGTATAAAAACATATTTATGAATCTGGATATTTAAAAAAGGTGCAATTTATAAATATATATATAAATATATATTTGGTTATTCAAATCCACCGAATTGGAAGAGAAAATGTATTTCAAACTTTTAAATTATCATTGATTACAATCTTGTATTGATATTTGTATTGATATTGATAATAACATATCTATGAATCTGGATATCTATAAATATATATTTAGAGTTATTCAAACAAAGATCAATTTCAGGCTTTTAAATTTATCATTTATTATTATTTTTGAAGCAATTGACCAGATTTTGTATTGGATTCCAGTGACGCCATCAAATAATTAGTCAATCAAGCTAAGAAAATTGACACGGATCAGTCCGGTAAGGAAATTTCGTAGAAATTATATTTTGTTTACTATATTATTTACCAGATTCAGCCTGACGACAATATGTATTATATGTAATTAAAATTTTAATTATTATCGTTATCATATATACGTTTCAAGCCTGTATCTGGTAAATAATAAATAATAAATTTGAAAGCCTGAAACTTTTCTCTTTGCAGCAGTAATATATTTTCTTTGTTAACTACAAGTGTAAACACGTGATAACGAAGCTAACCATTTACCACATGTCATTTTCTTTGTTAACATACTCGGATCAAAATTTCGGATCTTATGCAGTATGGCTGGGTGAATTATAGCGTAAGTGGCATAATCATTAATTTATATGTACACATGATCTTTATCGGCCCTGCCCATCTAGATTGCAGTTCAACAAAGAAAAAAAGAAAATCTATAGATATTTGTTTAATAGGAAACCTAATAAATAATATCATTTTAAATAATTAAGAAATGTCTAATAAAATTTTAAGCATTTCAGCATTCACATGATTTGTTAGAGTTACGTTAGCATTACAGCATTAGAGGAATTATACCCGAAACAGCACGCACGTGACATACCTTATCTAATGCTGGTCATTTGCTGTGTATATAATTCACGTGTATGCCGTGTCTCCTTAGAGATTGGTGATTTGGCATCATCTCCCCCGGGCATATGTTAAGGTTAGTTTATATAGTAAACTTATCATTAATTTGCTGTCTATCACCACTTGTTAGTATCATTTTTCAGGTACGTACGTATATAGTTTATAAGCACTGTCCGTGAAGTTGATTCAAAATTCACACTTACGTGATAACAAAGTCATTTATTCTAGAATAAGTTAGAAATTAGTGAGTTCTATGTAAAATCAATTTTTTCTGATCGTGTTATGTAACATTAAATCGTGATTCACTATTGCTGTATTGAGCGATTTGCCCTGGATTATCACGTGATAACGGGATCCCCATTTTCTGCCCGCTTTAAAATTTGAATTATGCGAATTATGCGTTAAATTTTTTAGAATTGCGAATCAGGCATCTCGGAAATCCCGACAATCATGCTCGTGTAACAGGAACGACGTAAATGATTCAGATATAGTTACATATGATTGTCAACCAATTATATCTCGATTTATGCGATAAATTTTTTAGAATTATGCCGCAAATTATGCGGTTCAGGCATACCTCTCCGAAATCCCGACAATCATCAAATATAGTTACATGTGATTGTCAACCAATTATATCTCGAATTTTAGCAAATCAGCCAATCAGGTTGCAAAGAAGTTGTGGGAGTCACGAGGATTCAAAGAATATGTTATAAAGTGAAACAAAAGCATTGTTTCATCCGTTAAATTTATATTTCGTTTCATAGAAAGTTAAGTTACTCGAGCTTTTAAAAGAGGTATTTGAACAGTCGTTGTTTGCTCATGTTTTGTGTTCGTATTTCTCTATAATTAATGCCAACCATTTTATGTGCAGATTAATTATGCTAAATTAGTCAAAATACGCGAATATGCTATTGCATATATACTTCTGCGATAAATCTGATTTAGAAGCAGATCATGCTATCGCAGATCCCGCCCTAACCTTAGTCGAGGCATAGATGATGAAATTAAGCATTGATTTTGTGTTTGCTATCCCGAATCATGCGGTGGTATAACAATTTATGTGTGTATGTGTAATTAGAGATTATTTGTTTTTATAATGAATTCTATTTATAAATTCACATTCATCCCGTATATCTTACTTTTGTTAGTGGTAACTTATCATGTAAGGGGTTAAAAAATATTGTGACACCTCCGAATGTATTTCTGCCGAAAATATTTTGGTAATTTAATGGTAAACTCCAAAATAAACTCCAAAATAAACTCCAAAATATTTTCGGTAAATCCACACTAGTTTCTACCCTATGTATAATGTACATTCATGTAACCACAAGAAAATCAAATTTTAAGATTTGATAAGATCGCCAAAATTAACGAAAAAAATGAAAGACTACGAAATTCTATTTCAAAGAAAATAAAATATCGAAAGGTAATACCTATGATACTATAATTAATTATATTAAAAATAAATTTCTTATCAGCGTACACAGTTTTCAATGTTCTTTCGTGTATATTACCAATAGTTACATTAAATCACTATTAATTTTAATTAACACTATTAATTTTAATTAACACTATTAATTTTAATTAACACTATTAATTTTAATTAACACTATTAATTTTAATTAAGATGTAATTTTTGGGCAAATTTACTAAATTTATCCAAACAATTTAAATCAGTACAAACTTTTAAAAATAAATAACCAATTAAAAATTAGTACTCTTGAGGCAAATATGTAATATTAGCACTTGCCTACAACGTTGACAATTTTAGATCACATCCAACATTACGTGACAAGATGTCATAATGTATAGTAAATTTAAGTCATAATAGGTCACAAGGTCATAAATTATAATTACCCAATGGGTCATAAACCAACATTGCTTGCCTATCTAACCATCAAAATGGGGTACGTACATACTTAGTATACATTAAATATATATATGAATTAATACAATTCATGTTTTGGTAGTACGTACCCGATCTTATACACTATATAATTACAATTCCAACGTTATCTTTACGCACTACACACATGTACTTACGTACGTACGCTGATTATTTTTATATAATTTTATAATTCCTTTGGGTAATTTGTACTACCGACGCAAATGAAGTAATACCCTGTTATCTCATTGGTTTCCAAGAATCGAGGTACATAATATTACCATTCGAAATTATCGTTTATTCAAAATTGTACGTATTGTTTGAAAATCATGTAACTGTAACCTTGACTATTGGTAACATTGCGACTTTTCTGAACCAATGTCAGACCAATCAATCAATCATCCTTAATCTTTCCGAATATATATATATTTTGAGTTTGTTTGCTTTAATAAGGTCATCAGCAAGGTCGAACTTCTGCGTTCCGGAACCAATAAATTGTGTAACAAAAACAATACCAATGATTAAAATGTTCATCGATTGGTTTTAAGAAGTCTGTCTACATTGATGAATCATAGGTTGTATTAAACCCAAAATAATTTGATTTAGACTTAATCGAAGAATGACTTGTTGAAAATTCGCTGCGCGAAATGCGGATTCTAAATTTTGGCCAATTAGAGAAACTTATGAAAAAAAAGATGGCCTGCACCTCTAGATTTTATTATCGAAATGATAACTCACTTGTTTAGTTTAGACTACACAGTGGCTCTCGATATAACGGACCATCGATATAACGGATATTGCGAATTATAATGGACCAAATTATGATTTACTATAATATCTTAGATGTCATAAGACTTTGATATAACGGAGCTTTTGATATAACGGAGCAAAGAACTGGAACCATGGCCTCCGTTATACGTATCAAGAGCCACTGTGTAATTAAAATTTTGCCTCTGATCTATTGATTGAAGTGCTTGAGAACCTTAGTTTTAAAATCGGAATAATTCAAATCAATTTAGATGAATTATGTTTTAAAACTATAAATTACAGTACCGGACAACAATTTTCAAAAGTGCCAAATTCGAAGATTATATGGGTGTCTTATATTAAAAGGGTCATTTTGACATAGAAACAATTTTGAGTAAATCGAATTTAAATAATGAACTTCAATATAAACACATGTAAAAATTTTTATTTTAAATTCATTTTGTGAATCTTTTCAGTATATAATTAGCTTCTATTATTTATAGAATATATATCTATTTAAAAATCAAATAAAAAAAATGTTAGAAAAATTTTTAAAATGGTTTTTGTTAATATAAAGCATCCCATATAATCAATTATAATTAGTTAATTTTTATATAATTTTGATTGATCAATAAACTATATAAATAATTTTTTTATAAAATAATATATCTATTATACTATATAATATACTTGTCTATTATATTTTTATATAAATAATAATTGGTTTTTTTTGTTGGCAGCTTTTTTGGTATTAAGATGAGGCCTTGCTAGTTTTTAATATAGTAATTATAAAGAGTTGCTAATTTTAAATATATAAAATATAAAAAATAAAAACTATATGTAAGAATAAAAGATTAGACTATTTTATCTGTAATCTAAACCTGCTAAAGTAGTTACTGGTAAAGACTTACCTAGATTGTGATAAATAAAATATAATTAGAAATATATTGTATTTAATCTATAATATATTGAAATATTAATTTTACAGATAGCCTGTTCTAATAAAGAACAGAAATTTTTATATATAATTAGTTAGGTAATCATATTAATATAAGTAAATATATAATTTATAAATATATTTTGTGTCTTGTTAATAGCTTGTAAAACCTAAGATTGGTTATAAGATAGAATAATATTATGTTACTTTTTAGTTTAAAAAATTAATATAATATAGTTTTTATATTTGCTTATAAATAAGTTTATTAATTCAAAATAAGATGTTAATAATAGATTAAAAACAAGTTTGTATATAATATCAAACTACTAAATAAACTAAACTAGAAATACTGTATTAAATAAAGCCTTTGGGTATAATATCAAAATAAAAATTATTTGTTCTAAATAATATATCTTTAAAGACTATATAATTTTGAATTTTAAAAATAATTTTGTTGGCTTAGTTACTAAATAGGTCTAGTGCTAAGCTATAGAAAATTTTAGAAATAAAATTAAAAATAATATTGAGAGAAGTAATAGAGTTAGTATAAACTCTCTTGTATAAAACAGAGTTTAAGCTATTACAAGAAAAACAATTAGAGCTAATAAAGATAATATAGTAAAAAAAAGTAAAAAATGATTTTTAATAAAATAATATAGTAATAAATTACTAATTATTATATTTATAAATAACTATTAAAGTCTAATATTTCAATTATTTTAATTATTATCTTCTATCTATATTAAAAGAGTATTTTTTAAAATCTTGTTAGAGTTTTCAACTAAACTCTATAGCTGAAAATAACAAAACCACCTATTAATTATATAAATTTCTTTTTATAGACTCAAAAGCTTATAAATAATTTGATTTATAATTCTCTCCTATTATAACTTAATAAAAAATATATAAAAGTTCAAAGACGGTAAAAATAAAAAATAAAATACAGCAACCTTTACTATTTTCTTAGTATATAGTAGACATATCCATAAATACTGCATAAAATAATTATTAAAATATGCAATATACTGGCATTATTTATCAAATATTTCTCAAATAAACAAAATCAACTCGTATATATTGCAAGAACCTTTTTAAAATAATAGTATACAGTATTATGTATATTAAGTGACATATATTTCT